GACTCTGGTGAGGAATACGTTGTAGAACTGATCCAGCTAAAAGATTGTTCCAGCCTCATTCTGTCCTCCAAATTGTTTTAATCATACTGTTTTTTAATCCACATCATGCGGGCGGTCAGTGTAAGATTCAGCCAAGAGAATGATTTTGAAGTCTCTTCTCTAGAGTTTCAGATATAAAATGAATTTTCACAGGAGCTAACAAAGTCATCTGAGCTGGAAAGTGTGGAAACCTACTTATTTATGAATCTAAAACTACCTCCATGCCTGTGGGAAGATTAGATACCACCGGATTAATCACTTGCCAAAGGCCTTTAAGTACAGGGGAAGTGAATGCAAAATGACAATGCGGAGACAGCGTCAGTGGGACCTGTGTGGTGCTTCAGTGCGGGGAGCAGGGGAGATGCTGCACCAGTGGTGGGACTTCGAACCTTTGCTTGGCTGACCCAGGGGATCCCGCTGTCACTGAAGGACTGGCCGGCACTGCTTGTTGTCCCTGGTGAGTGAATGAGGGCAGTGGGGTGTTACGTGAGGCTGTGGCAAGAAGGTAGGTCAAAGTACATCTGGGCTTAGAGACATTGTTCCCTAGTGGCCCTGGGGCCCCCCTGGGCTCCCCTGTAACCCTCCCCACCCAGACACAGCAGCAAGAATGAGACTGAGCTCCTGGTGCAGGAGCTTCTCAATGAAAAGTTTATTAGAAGGGCACTTACAGGGGGAAGAGAAGGACAGAGAGGACACAAGTCTTTAACAATAGTACAATGCTTACACAGGTGCTCTGCTCTTAAGATACAAAAGTTAGAAAAATCTAAACCACTATAAATACATACATGCTTTTTACAAAGGTATTAAAAGGTCAGGCTGGCTGAGACGTGAAGGTTGTCAACATCCTGCACGTTCTGTTTCCGCGCTGAGAGCCCCCACTGGCACAGCCTAGTTGCAGGAGTGAGTGAGTGAAGGCATCTTGGAAAAGGGAGGCTCCAGCTCTCCATGTAAAGTTCTCACCCCTGGGAAGGGAGAGAATTCGGAGCTGCCTGTTGTCACACGTTGCGACAGGGTTAGCGAGCCTGGGCTGGTGTCTGGATGCTGAGCCAAAAAAAGCCTCCGTGCCCTCAACCCACATTCAGAACTGGCTGTGCCGCCCGCTCTTCCCAGCCACTGTCCTTGGGAGGAGAGACCTTTCCAAGTTTCTTCAAAAAAATTAAATAGTTGTTTGTCTTGAATGGGTTTAAGAAATTATTACATAAATATAAAACACCAGGATGCGAGAGTGTACATTACTTGAGCATAAAAGAGAAAATCAATTACAGAATCACTGAGAGACTTGCTCGATCCAGCGCACATGCTGGGCGAGCTGTTCTGCCACGCCACCTGGATGCCGGGTCACCTCCCCGCGCCGGACCCCCTTCCAGCAGAGGTGCCGCATCTTCATTTTTGATCCGTGTCCTCTATGTAAAGTCTACTTTCCCACCCACTTGAGAAGTAGCTGATTCTCTTTAAAAGGGTGACATACATTTTAAAGAGTGTTACTTGAAGGGGTTCTAGAAGGGAACATTTATGCCACAAAGAAAAATGGTACAACTTAGCTGTATTGAGGTTTTCTTCTAAGAAAGTGGGGACATGTAGATTTTGGGGAAATCTCCCAACTCTGCCACTTAAAGTCACACACTAAGACACAAGGTCCAGAACTGAACTTAGAGCCTTTCTTGCTGTTGGTAACCCCTGGTTAATAGGCCCAGGGGCAGTGTGCAGATTCCTTTCCCTCCCTCACCTTCTAAGGACTACAGAGAGCGGCCTACTGTGCGCTCTCCCCCTGCAGAGACCTTCAGGGAGCCACAGAAATGGCAGCTTGGGGCTAACGATGAAATCAGATGCCTGCCTTCTCCCCAGACTACTCATTTACATGCATGACATGCACACACTACTTAAAGAAAACCTTTCTCTGCAGTTTGAGTAAAAGCATTTAGCCCTGGAGTATGTCCAAACTCTAGGAAGCCAAGGGGACATGGAGGAAAAAAACAAACTAAAGCACAAGATATGTGCTACAGCTCATTCCAATACATTAACAATGATTTAAAAAAAAAATAATCACGATCAATAAAAAAATACAACACAGACAACATAAGGACAATGGAAAAGTCTGCCAGCAGCCTTGCCCTCATGTGTGTTGTTCCTAAGAGTCAAAGTCCCCGCTCCTGACTCTAGGCTTGTCTCAAAATGTCAGATCTTCTGCAGCCTGCCAGGAAGGTGGCCAACGGAGATGATGTTCCAGCACAGGCCTGTAACCTGAGCCTGCTGGGGCGGCGACCTACGTTTGTGCTGGAAGGATCTAAGTTACTAAATAAAGTTTGGAAGGGGGCTATGTGGGGGAGGAGAGGAAAGGGACTAGAAGTCGGCCCCCGGGGTAGATGCCGAGGCTGAGGACTCAGGCCCCAGGGCCCACTCCTCTGGGCTGCGAGGTGAAGGCCACCAGGGAGGGGCCTGGAGCAGGGGAACAACACATGTGTCGTCATGTGGCCTGGATGAGCACACGTAAAACCACTATCCAGCGGCTACTGTCCCCCCCTCTAGAAGTGCCCTCATTTCCTCTTGCCCCATTCTACTGTCCTTTAAGAAAGTTTTAAACTGTATAAATGCCTGTTCTACAACAGGGCTTAAAAAAGAAAACTAGTTTTGCAACAAAGGACAATACTACACATGCCCCAAAGCACCTACGCAGCCTCTGTGAATGGGGACGGCGTCAAGGTCCTAACCTCTAGGTAAGACCAAATGTATTTTCAGTGGTGCCAAAGGTGGGCTTACCTACATCTTCCTCACACTGCCTCCTCCAGCCGTCTAGTCTGAAGAAAAAGGACCCAGTAAGTAGCTTTTGGAGAAACAAAGCATTGAGGGTTCTAAGACACCATCTAAATGTAGCCAAATGTGACCACTGGATCACCAAAATGGGGCTGTACCTAACTGGGAAGCTAGTTGCCAAGTACCTGGAGGGCAGCTGTGTGCTACGGGACCATGTAGCAGGTGGAGAATGCAGGCCCTCAGAAACCGCTGCCTAAGGCTTTCAGGAAAGGCCAGATGGAATAATGCAGGCCACAAGCCTCAGGCCTGACAGGGAGCATGAAGGCGCACGTCCTGGAGGTTCAGGTGGCTTCCCGTTTCTGTAAGAAGCAGTCCACAGATCAGTTCACACCAGGCACAAGCTTCAGACACAGAATTTGGCCCTCAGGTAGAACAAGAGGTTTTGCATTGTCTCTGGGTTCTGTGTCGGGAGTCCTGAGAGGAGACTAGCACAGGTCTGGCAAGGTGTTCCTCCTGCCTCTTCCTGTGTCCTCAGGAGGCTTGGCGAGCAGCCCTCCTACCTGAAACCCTCAAGGCTGGAGCTTCAGAGGCGTAGGATCCTGCAGGTGAGGCACCGGAAGCCCCCAACATCTCCATAGAGCATCAGAAATGTCATCACATTTGAGGTTGATATCCTGCCAAAAGTACACACTTTCTTCCCTTCACCTGGAGTTAAGACAGGACTTCCATAGGAAATCCCTTTATTTTTCCTGGTAGAAATCCATGCAAAAATATGGGATAAGTCATTTCATACAAAAACAGCAGCAAAGAATAAAGTACCAATTCAATTGCAAGTGGCAATTCTGTCTGCTGTATTCTGCAAAAGGGCTTTTTTTTTTTTTTCCAGTTGAAATAATTTATAATAGTCTTCTCACTAATTGCCACTGGGAGCAGTACTTATTATACAATATAACTGCTAGAGTTGTCACTGATAATCCTCTACCGTGAACGAGATAATCTTATACCCCAGGGGAAAGATGACAGACCTCTTTGCACCAAGCCTGCAATTTTCAAAGGTGTAAAAAAATTTTAATAGCCCTTTCATTTGCCTCATTGGCCTGAGATTTCTCCCTTCTGGTGAATCTGCTCCTGTTAATATCAGCTTCCAAAACTGCTGGCAGGTGTCTTCTCAACAAAACCTGCAAAGGCTTCACCTTGGGGGAGAAGTTGCTGCGTCCCACTCTGGTTTCCCAGTCAATGCACCCACCCAGGATTTAACTATAAAACAAACATTAAAAAGAGCACAAGATAAAGTTCATTTAATTAATGCAACTGACTACATAAATCAATAGCCGAATGCATGAGAATACAAAGTGAGCTCTTACGACTGGGACCCATGCAATGTAGTGCTGCCCTAGCCCAAACATGATCACTCCACAGTGCCTCCTGCTTTATGTGAATACCTCCCATAATTCAAATCTCTTTGAGATTAATGTGATAGACTATACATTGCAGGTGCACTGGGCCTCAGCAGATCCTTCTAACTGCTCTAACTGAGAAAGGACAACTTTAAGAACATTTTGAAAAAAGAGGTCTCTTAACTTTTCCCACTGTCCGTGCATGGTCTGAACACACTGGCTCACACCAGTCAGTATGCTCTGAGGAGGAGGAGACACACAAGTCCCTCCCCACCCCGAGTGGCCAGTCCCGCTCCCGGTGCACCACCGTCTACGGAGGGAGTGCTGGGGCTCACTGTGCTCAGTTCAAGAGGCATCTTGTCAAAGTGCCAGAGGGCCGGTTATGAGGCTTGCTCACACCCCTGCAGGCTTCTCCATATCTGGAACACCCAAGGTGAACACCCTGCAGTCCTGAACAGAGGGCCATTTCCTGTTGGACAGTGACATCCCACATTGCTGTCATTAAAAAAAAGAAGGGGGGTCGGGGGAGAGGGCAGGTGGTGACATACTACCTGTTTGCTCAAGCCACCAAAGCAGAAGCCATTTCTTGCCCTTCAATCTGGGGCCAGAGGGCAAATGTGTTCAGCAGGCACAGCTGTTCATAAACTCCATCTCTGGGTTTGCTTTTGTGTTTTGGAGAACAGGTTGGTGCCCCTTTGGTTGAGGGAGAAAAATTTCTTCTTCCTTGAGAACAGTGAGTTGAGTTCCGACTTTCTCCACTTCCCATATGGCCGTTTTACCCACTCCCGCCCTCCCCGCCCCTCCCCCTTCACACCCAACGTCTCTAAGACACACTGGAACAACGGATGCTCGGGGAGCCCATCTGGGTGAGGACCTTGTCAAGCCACTGCAAAGGCCCATTCAGGTGCAGCTCGATCCAGCAGGGGGTGCTGGTCACTGTCTGTCTCCTAGAAGACATGGGGAAAGGGAAAAGGGTGGGAAATTTTAAAAATGTCTAGAAGGACACACACACAAGTTAGTATACCTTTTCTTACTTTGGTGACAGTCTTCTTCCCAGAGCCAAGGTAAGTCTTGCCTTGCTAGACCCCGAGTGCCTTAGAGGAGGTGCCAATAACTTGCTAAATTGGCCTCGCCAAACCCTTCCGCCCAGAAGAGTTTTGAGTGAACCAGATTCTTGTGATGGGGAAGGAGATGGCCCTTCAAGAGTTAAACAAGAAAAGCAAATTCCAGGGTACCCCAGAGGCCCACCAGTTGCTGTGACAGGCTCCTGACAGAGAACCCCCATCTGTCCTGAATGAGCACCTCAGTCCCCCGGCTCCAGCCCCAGCTCAGCCCCAGCTCAGCCCCAGCAGGCCGCGATGACGTGCGTCTGTCTGATTGAGGGGTGTTTTTTACAAAGCGCCGACAGAACCCGCATGCCGTTGGTTCCCAATGTGCTGATATAATTCCCATCTCTAGTCTTATTTTGGAAAATCTTACGAGCAGAGCGAGCCATGAAACAATTACTGGAAAAAACCAAGGCACACCACACGTTTCTGTTCCCCAAAGCACTTTGTCTAAATTCAGGCGGGTTGATGACGCAGCTCGCAGGCGAGCTCCCAAAGGCCTCCACTGAGCAAAGGCTATCTGCTGAGGCCGGAGGCGCTGGTGCCAGCTGGAGGTGAGAGGCCTGGGCCCCGGGCCCTGCTTTCGGCCACCTCACAGAGAGAAGGGATGAAACCTTATTCTCCTTGGCCCAAGAGGCAGAAGGAGGGCAAGACTGTTCTGGGAAGGGGCCGCACCCACCAGTTAGGCCGCTCTGCAGTGCTGCCAGGGGGCAGGGCTGTGGTGGGCCACACAGGACTGGGCATGTTGGCACCGTGTCCTGCACGGTGACACAGTACCCCCCGCCCCGAGAAAGGCTTCCACCCCCAAGGGGCCTCTCCCCAGCACCTGGAGCCGGCGGCGGGCTGTGGTGCCACGCCAGGCCGAGGGCCGCTGGCCTGAGGGCACAGCCCTCCTGGCCTCTCTCCAGTGGAGGGCTGGGGCCGGGCCTGCACACTCGCCCTGGGGCGCCCACCTGATTCGCGTGCCTGAGTGTGGCCCTCAGGACTGCAGTCGGAGTGGAAGAACAGCAAATGGACCTCCCTTTGGTTCTGTTCCACTGGCCCCCTCTTTATTTCCCTTCCCTTCTAAAAAAAAAAAAAATACTAATTTTCTAACCTTTCAACTCTTGTTCCCCCAGTGATTTCAGCCAGGGCTAAAAGGTGGGCAAACACATCTGTAGGGCGAGGCCTTTGGGCCTGGGCTAACCTCCTCAGGCCATTATGATTGTGCTGTAAGTTCTCCTGAGATCTGACTCCTTTAGTTGCTGAACTGGCCGCTCATCCTGGATTTCAGAGAGACCCCCACAGACCAAGGTGCTTTGTTCCCTGGCACTGAGGGGCAGACAGAGGGAACAGCAGCTAAAATACGGTAAATGGAAGAGGAGGATTTTACGGACCGAAATCCTCTAATGAGAATCTGATTTTCCATAAGTCATGCTCATCTGGATTTCATTATGAACGGTGGCCCAGAGCCAATACTGAAATGGGTTTGGCTTGGGTGCAGAATGACTGCAAAACAAAATGGATTCCAAACATCTGGAAAAATGAAGAGAAGGGGAGAGTAACTTGCAAGACGCTGGCTCCCGCTGACGTGTGGGTACCTCCGCGTCTGCCGGGGGGAGCTGGGGGCTGGGGGTGAGGGGGGTGGCAGTGTGGAGCAGGAGGAGGGGCGCACAGCCCTGTCTCTCAAGAAACTCCCGTCCAGGTGTGAAAGAGAAGGGACTGGATTCTCTAAGCCCCTCTCAAACCAAAGTGGTCTGAGGGATTCAACAGAGCAGACCAGCCCAAGCCTTAACCAGTGTTAGGTTTAAGCCCGGTATCTGAAATTCTGAAAGACACTCTTTTTTTCTGAGCAAGTAAACTCTGTTCCTTTACAGCTACCAAATCGCCGCCTCGTTTCCCTGCTTCTCATTTATTTAATATTCTAGATGCTCAGGGTCACCTGAGCTAGGGAGTCAGAGTCAGAGCCGGAGCCACAGATGAGGAAAGGAACAAGGGGATGAACAGCTGACTCCCTGCATAGGGTCGTCCTGGACCCATCTGCCCAAAATAAACAATGAGGAAGAGGCCGAGAGGGTACGTCCTAGGCTCAGCCTTTCCAGTAACGATGTGACTTCGCGTAAGTCACTTTCCCTCCCTGGACCATAGTTCCCTCACCCATATAACAACGATGATGCAATGTCCCCCGCCCAGTGTTGTGGCGAGGGCGACAGGGAGCACATGTGTGTGAGGCGCTGTGCCAACACAGCTCAGCGCTTCCTTATCTAGTGTGACCCTGCCCTCCAACCTGCCCTGTCGCAACCTCTCTGATCCTTGGTCGCTGTTCTTCGGGCGAGAGCTGGCCTCATTTGTCTCTGAGGAGCCCCCGCTCTGCTGTCTGAGTCCCCGGCGGTCCCTGGGCCCCAGGCCACACGGCCCCCCAGAGCTGACCTGTACTCTGCTCCCCAGCCTTTCACAAAGCTCATGCGGATGGTGCACATGCGCGTCAGCTGGTAGACGGCCTCAAAGCCCTGGTTGACGGACTGAGCCAGGAGGGCAGCAAACTCCTGGTTGTTGAAGATCTTCAGGTTGCACCCTGCCGAAAGAACAAAAACGCCACTCGTGACGACAAAGGGCGGAGGTGTCCGGTGCCCCCCTCCAGGCTAAAGCCATCCCTGGGTCACCCAGGACGTCATAATCCACATTGCTGAAGTGACTCACATACTCCACACTCAGCACCATGCTAGGGACGGGCCCTCTCCGTCCCTGCCCTTGAAGCCATTGCCACCTCAGTGGGGGGTACAGCTGACGTGTGGGAGGGGCAGGGAGAGAATTAAACACTGGCCTGCCCGCTCCCACTCCTAGGGCTCTGGGGACGCTGGGGAGGACAGCAAAGGGGGCTACCAAGAACAAGGGAGATGACTGGAGAGGTGAGGCCCTCCTGGGGCTAAGGGGCCAAGGCAGGAGCTCCAGGGAACACAGAGACAGGGACCTGAGCCAGAATGCCCATGGCTGTATGGGATCTGGCTGATCCCCTGGGGCAGAATGACCACTTTGCCGTCCAACAGATGCGGTGCCGGCTGAGACGGGCTGGCTGAAAGGCTCCTCGGCCTGCGTTCCATCAGGGAGCTCAGCACAGGGGCCCTGGGCATCTGCCGCCCAGCTCCTCTGGTGAATCCACCTCACGTTAAGCCAGGAGGGAGCGGGGAGTCTGGGCCACATTTTAGCCTCTGGGCACAAGGCTGGGTGGGGGTGACATTCACAGCAAAGCGAAGGTGCGTGTCTAACTATCCGGGCAGTAAAACTAGAGAGACAGGCACAAATAAAGTTTATAACAAATCTCGTGTTTGAAGTCCTGCTGCCTGAGAGCCAGGAATGTGTCCACCAGAAAAATAAAGACAAAAGCACATGTTGCAAATGCCCAAAAGGTGAGCTGGGGTGACATTTATTAATGGGCCAACACTAATCTTGCTGTGTGACTCTGGGCTGGTTGCTTTCTCTTTGTAAGCCTGTGTCTCCTTTATAAAATGAGGGGCTGGCCTCAGAGGACCCCGAGCGCTCACGTTCTATGAGCCGACAAACACCACCAGAGCCAGCTCAGCCCTTGAGGAAAAGATGGGGGGAGGGCTGCGGAAGGGAGTGGGCCAGATGCCAAGAATGCAACCCAGCTTCCTCTTTCAGCCTTCTCAAAGGGAAGTGTGGTGAGGTAGGGCTGCGGCCGGCTGGCCGAGCTGAGCCAGGGACAGAGGAGCACTAGACTCGGGAGTCAGACAGTCGAACCTGGGCTCACCCTGGCTCAGCTGCCTACTAGCTGGGTATCCTTGGGCAAGAGGCTTAACCTCTCTAAACCTGTGTCCTCAATGCACCTCCTCACCTGAAAAGCCGGAATAACTGGGGAGGACTGAGCGCAGAGATACAGACGTACTCTGCAGACGCAAGCACACAATGCTCTGGCAACACAGAGCACTGTTATCATTTCAGAACGTCTGCCGTTCTTAAGCTGACCCTGCCCATGGCCCACGGCTCCACTATCATCTGCTACTCAGCGGGCAGGAAGAGACATGCCGCACATGCGTCACAGTCCAGAGCCTGACCTGGGCCACACACGCTGCCAACCAGTCACAGTCCACGTTTTGCGGGCTGTGTGCCCTGTGGCTTCATGACACGTGAGAAGTGGGCTTTGGCTGGGGCTGTCTGCCTCCATGTTCTTAGCAAGGAGACCTTAGATGGGATCAGCCTCCTGCCTGGTCTTGCTCCCTAGGCCTGGCGCCGTCCAAGCCACTGTTGGGGGGATGCCCCTTCTTGAAGTGCAGGGATTTATTAGCTCTGCTCAGAAAACCCTCAATGGTTCCCCAGAATAAAAGCAACACTTTTACATGCTTCCATGGCCTGCTCCCACCATGCTATCTAAATATTTCCCTGACTGTCTTCTCTACGGCCTCCTGCAGCCCAGGTGCCGTCCATGCATGCCCTGCGCTCCGTCAGCTCAGCCCGCAAGGCCCTCGCAGTCCTCACCCCACCCTCACCCCACCCTGGGCTTGGGCCTCTCCTCCACGAAGGCTTCCCTGGTCCATCCCGACAGTTAAATGTGTTTTTCCTCCTGGATCCAAGAGCACCTGAGTGGCTCACCTGATGCTTAGCACTCTCCCCTGTATTAAACCCATTTTTGTCTTTTTGTTCTTGTATACTTAGCTGGAGTGTAAGGTCTGTGGAGACAGCAGCAGGGTTTCCTATATTTTTCCTCCCCCTACAGCACCCCATGCTATTTGTTTATGGAAGGAAGGAAATAAACTGCCCAAGCATCTATACACATAGGACACGGAGCAGGTACCCATAGATCAAAGGCAGATCCATCAGAGGCTGTGTCTGCTCCCTGGAGGGTCAGGGAGAGCACAGTTAAGGCACAGAGAAAACTCAGGCAAAGCACCCCCAGGCTGGCAATGCAAACCCCCGTGAGGAGAAAATGGCAGGAAAAAACCTCTCCAGCAACCCAGGCATGCTCTGCGGGGGAAAAGACCTCAGGGGAGGCATGGACATAGATAGAGGTGTTATTACCTGGTGGAATCTTGCAGACGGTGGCCGGGTGCCAGCCGTAGCGCTGGTTACAGTTGGGAGACTGCACAAAGATAGCGCTGTCGCTGAGGCACTCTGCGAAGACCTCCCCTCCGATGTAGTACAGCCGCACGCCTCGCCCTAGAGAGATTCGGGTCAGACCAGACCAGGGTGCCTGGCCCCACGTAGCGGGGCCCCAGGGCCCGCTGTGGCTAGCAAAGGGCCAGAGCTCTCGATGCTCCAAGTGACTAGTTCCAAACCTAAACCCACACAGAGGGAACGGAGAGCGATGCTGTGTTCCTAAAGCCAGAGGAGGCAGAGGGCGAGAGAAAGAGCACACGTGGGGCTCAGCGACAGCCTCTGCCACTGTCCAGCCATGCGCCTCGGTCAAGTTACTCTAAGTTCTGAGCCTAAGTTAAGATGGGGACAATAATCACAACAACCTCACGGTGTGACTGTGAGACACACAGCGAGTGCCTGCTAAGTGTTAGCTGTATTCCGCCAAGATTCAGAAATTCATTCGGTGAACCTGCAGAGCGTCTCCGAGGCAGCAGACACCCCAGGAGCCCTTCACTGCAGGGGTGACCTGGTGTCATCCCTATACCTTTCTCCCCTCAAAGCATTTTTCTACAACATTCCATAGGTTTATATCATTTACTTCTCCTTCATCTCTTAAATCCATTCCAGATGGACAGAAATTATTTTTAAATTGGCTGTGCAATTCTAGCAGTTACGTAAACACTCTGACAATGAGCAATCCGTGCAGCCAGGGGTGTTCCCTTCTCCTCCACGGGAAGGGCTCGGTTCCCGCTCCTCGGGAGGAGGCCCAGAGGGCTGGAGAACGGAGCCAGCTTTCACCGGCGCAACATCAAGTAGGATGGAAACCAGGCAACGGACCAACGGGCCATTGGAGGTTCGCTTCTGTCTCCTTATCCCATCACTGTCCCATCCTCCTCCTGCTCCCCATTTCTTCTTGGTTTGGTGTCACAGGGCAGACTCGGGGTGCCCGGGGAGGAACCTCCACGTTACATCCATCCAGAGCGTGAGGCAGAGGTGGAGGTGGGAAGCCCCAGGCCAAAAGGACAAAAATGTTTTGTTTTATTATGGTAATTTTTGAAATACTTTTAAAATATAGAAAAGTGCAAAGAGAATCAGTCACACCCAGGATCAGTATCTTTTTTAAAGTAAGAAAATGGGGAGGCCCCCTGGGAAGGACGTGGGCCCCGGGGCAGGGGCCTGGGGGTCGCCGACTGCGTCGCACTCGCTGTCTGGCCCCTGCACGGCTGGCCCCTCCTCGTTGTCCGGTTATTCCCAGGGAAGTGAGCCCTGTGGTCTCAATCATGGCTTCCAAACTTTTCTTCTCTCACCCATGAAATCCTTCCTTCAAATGAAATCTCCTGTTAATGCCCAAGATATAATACAAAGGGGCCGCGGTGCTCTGGCTCACGTGGCCAGACCGGTGCTGCCCGGCCCAGCTCCTGGCTCTGCCCTGAGGCCCCTTGACCAGCCCCTGGGGGTGGCAGGCAATGCCTGGGAACATCCCGCTGCCCCATCTCTATGGCCCTTTTAAGTGACTCTGGATCACAAAATTATGACTATCCTTAGGCATAATTTCATGAGCGAACAGTGATAAATATCAAGGCTTCATCTTCCCTTCACTTAAATGACCTTTCCCTAAGTTCTGGGTGTTGGAAGGTAGAACAGCAGCAGCAACAGTGCCCCAGCAGTGGGCAACTCTTGTCTCTCCACCTTGTCTGAGTTTTCTAGAATAATCATTATCGTGTATGAAATTAACAAAGAAAAATCACACATCCAAGACTGACTACCTACTTACCCACCTATCAGTCACTTAAGTGCATATTTATTAAGAGAAGTGTATATATTGCCTTTCTTACAGATTTCCCTTTCTTGTTCCCCTAAATGAACGGTTTTCCTCTGTGGCTTTCAAATGTTCAGAGATGACCTGTCTGTGTCTCTGAGTGGGAATGAGCAAGCAACCTGAACTCTACCCATCAGGCCCCTAAACAAGACAACACAAAATTTGGGGGTGGGGGTGAGGGAGTGAGCCCCCTCCCCAGTTCCCAGCAGGAGGCACAGCCCAGTGCAGGCGGTTGAGTTCTGCGCAGAGGCTAGCTAACCTGAGGCCATGGGGTGGGGAGAGTGAAGGAAACACACAGCCCGCCTTTTGTCCCTTACCAATGTGCCTCCGCGTGAGCTCCACAGCCGCGTTCCTGTTGACATTGGAAAGCAGCCCTAGGCAGAAGCGCTCCGAGTTGGAGGGGTCGGTGAAGCCATCCACTGTCATGGACGGCTGCGAGGCGTGGAATGTCTCCCCGACGCGCTGGTTCAGCTCATAGTAGGAGATGGAGCACCAGAAGGCTGGCTCGCAGTAGGTGACAGGCTGCAGGTCTAGGAGACAGGCCAGGCTGCCAGGTCAGTGGGGCCCCAGGCCCTTGCCCTCCATGGGGTCCCGGATGCCCCAGGAGACTGTTTCTCTACCTCTCCAAGGGCATTATAACCCCTGCCCTCATGCCTTTTATCGTCTATAACTTGCAGGATCCAATGGGACATGGTACCCAGCTGTTTGGAGAAATATTCCACCTGGCCTGCTACACTTCATTTACTTTTAGCTCACAGAGGCCCTGCCCCACCTGGCCTGGCCTTGGGTGAAGCAGCCTGCAAAGAAGTGCTGGGCCAAGCCCGAAGAGGGTCAGACACCAACCAACACCTAGGCAAACCCACTGGCCAGGCCCAGGATGCTCCCTGATGTCAGGCCACATCGCCTACCAGTCTCTCTTCCAAGGTCCCCTAAGTAATCCATGCCCCCAAAAGCACTTTCTGCTTTTGGCTCTGCCTGGTCTTGGGCAAACTTCTAGCCTGTCAATCAGCAGTGTCCAAGCCTTTAAAATGACACAGCCCAGGGGGCTCTACGCTGCGTTCGGAGTCAGCGACCACACGGGCACCAGACGCTGTCTGCAGAGTGAACCAGGTCCACGTCTCTTATCACAGAAACGACCTAGTTTTCTTTCTCAAAAGAAATACAGGTTTCCCATCACATGATCCCACACGACTCCCTAGCCTTCTTGTCATCCCGAGCCACTCCAGGCTCTCCAGAGGCCCAGGCACCTCGTCCTCCTCCTGCTCACCCGGCACCATCGCTCACCTCGGCATGTCTGTTCCCTTAGCCCTCGGCCAGCGCTCGTCACTCCTCACTTGCATCAGTGCCCCGTGTCCTACGGGACTCCCCAGCACCAGCTGCTTCCCTGCCCTGCACTGCTGCACCTGGGCTGGGAGTACCGAGTTCTGCCACATCTCGCTCTCTGCCCGCTTGGATCCCACTCATCAGTTGGAGAATCAGGAGTCTCCTGCTCATTCTCACTCCTGTATCTCGGACCTCCCTCTGGCTCTGACATATCTTTGGAGCTGCCTGGTGATTTAGGTGCATCTTTGTGGGAGCTGGTGGGAAGGACAGGAAGGACTTGCTGACACTGGCCTGCGACCCCTGCTTACTGCCTGCCAGGCAACTTTCTGGGGCGAGAACCCACCAGGAGCCTCTGCTCAGCAGACCTTTGAAAGTGTGTAAAGCCCAGGAGAGAAAAATCAGAAGCTGTTCCGAGAGGGGCCTGGGTGCCCCCTGCAGGGCAGTGGCGCTCATCGCCTTCAGGGGTCTCTGTCCAGGATCCTGTCTGAGGGCAGAGGCTGCTACCATGCGTGGGAGGCACTGCAGACCAGTCACTTACATCCACCCTTGCACCCAACACACACCCAGGAAGTGTCAGCCGGAGGGTTAGGGCACCTAGATCAGGTTTCTCAACCTTGGAATTATTGACAGTTTGGGCTAGATGCTTCTTTGTTTGGGGGAGGGAGACTCTGTACATTAGAGGACGGTTAGGAGCATCCCTGGCCTCCAGCCACAAGGTGCCAGTAGCATCCATCTATCTCACCCTCCCAAGCTGTGACAATAAGAAATGTCTCCAGACATTTCAAGATGTCTTTTAGAGGTCAAATGGCCCCTGGTAAAAACTATTGCCCTAGATGTTAACCAGGTCATGGAGCACAAGCTTTAAAGTCAGGTGGACCAGAGCTCACTCTCTGTTCTGGTGCGGACTAGCTGTGGGACTGTGAACAAACCAGGTAAACTCAGAATTTCAGCTTCTGCATCCCCTGTCCCCAGCCACCTGAGCAGAGAACCTTTTTCACCACCAGGTGCTATTGGTGGATGAACTGAGATAATTCACATGAAGTACAGAGCGTGCATCAAACACTCCAGAAATGATGTTAACGACAATTATCATATGACTATTTGAACTTGAGAACATCCTGTTCCTGTCCTGTCCTCCATCACAAAAGGGGCAAAGTGTCCTTGTCCCTTTCCTCTCTTCCCAGGGTGGAGTGAGGGAAGAGGAGGGAAGGCCGGAGATCTAAGCTACGCAGTGGGGGATGGGGAGCAATGGGGCAGGAGTGACTGTGGCCTGTGGCTTGTGCCCCTGAAGCTGAGTTGAGCCACGTCAGCCACATCCAGCTCAGGCTTTGCTGGATGCTTCAGCATTCCAATGAGATAAGCTATACTCTAAACAATGTAGTCACTAAAATGTGAGCTATGTTGCTTTGGAAACCTTAAGAAATAAATAAATCCAAGTGCGATTCAAGCATTCAAAGTGGTTGGGCAACATGTCAGGGCCAGAGGCACAGGGGAGGGCCACGGGCCACCACTGCCCACAGGCAGGCTCTGCTGATCTTGCTGTGTGGCCTTGTGCGTGCGACCTCCCTCTCTGGCCTCAGTGTCCAAGCCTGAACAGTATCTGCGGGGTACTAGAAGACATCTAAAGCAGACCACCTCGGTCATTGTGCTTCTGGCATGAGTCAGCCTTCAGGTGCAGCTGTGGCTGATCTGGACTGGCTCTGGCTTCCCCAGCAAAGTGCAGAACAGAACAGAGTCCTCTCCCCAAATTATAAACCCTTGTCCAGAACCCCTTGGGCTTATTCCAGGCAGAAGACAGACAGCTAGGTTCCAGGAACACTGACACAGCCCACCTACCAAAAGCCATCAAGGCCACCCATTGGGTGACCGGGTGCTAGAACCTCACTCGGGAGAAGTGTGGGTTCAAGATGTCTCAGAATCAGAGAGGGGCTGGGGGACCGCCCCCAAGAGGCCCTCCCAAGCAGATCTGAGCCCTTATCCAAACGTCTTTGCAACTTGCAGGCACACACTGGACAGTGTTGTGGAAAACACTGGAGGAGGGAGCCTGACACGTAATTAAGAAGATGCTGGTTTGAAGCAGCAGTGTAGTCAGGCCAAGATGGTCTGCAAGCTGCCATTGGAGAGAGGGCTGTTTGGACGAGCCGACCTGCAATCAGAACCAGAGCAGCACTCCCAGCCACACATACATTATTCTCTGCACACAATTAACAGCCAGCCCTGCCTTCCGCCTCTCCGCCTCCCATCGCCGCTCAGTTGATTCTTTGAGGCGCTGCTGCAAGAGAAGCTGCAGGTCGAAAAGCTAGATCACTACCTGGGCTCTGCCTCGAACAGCACTTTATTTTTAAACTTCACACACGCCTCCTTTCTTTCCCACCAAAGGACTTATCCATATCATGGTTAAGTACGAGAGAAACAAAAAGTCAGGACTCTGGAAAAGGGAAGGTCTTAACTGGGATAACCATGAGATTATAGCTCCCGAAAGAACCCCCAAACTTGGCTCTGAGCTTCCTAGCAGACAACGTACAAAGGGAGCATGATATGCCACAGTTCTCTGGTTGACGGACAATTACTAGCTCTGCAGGGGAAGCCAAGCTTGCCCTAGCACTAAATCTTAGTAGAAGTCTGTCAGGCGGTAACCCCTCCCCTATGTCAATCCAGCCAGCCTGCCCTGGTTTCGAGAGTTTCCCAACTAAAGCAGCAAGGATTTTACAAAAGGTTGCTTCCTCAAAAGAACCTGAAGACATGCCTTTCAAAGCCTACGCTGTGAAGATGACTCTACATGGCCAGGCGACTGGTCCCAGTGGAGAATGGTTTTGCCTCTCCAGGCCAGGGACCCGGCACACCTGGAATGGTAGATGATGGCGCGTGCCCAAGGCCTCCCCTTCAAACAGCCCTGCTCCTGGCCAGACGGCTGGGTCTGCGCTAATCTCCGATCCTGGAGCAGAGGTGTTAGAGAGGCAGGAACCTCCAGCTCCAGCCGCTCTCAGCCCCCTGCCCCCACCAGCGTGGTGTCGGCCAGACTTCTCGAGTGGCATGGGGCACTTAATTCATGACTGGCCCCCTGCCAGTCTTACACATTGGCTGGCTTCAGTTTTGAGCCCTATTCCAAACTGGCATAGACTTTCTGTTTTGTTTAAGGAAAAGAAAACAGAATAAAACCCAGAAGGCAACACTTGGATTAAGGGATGCCTATTAAAAACATGTGCAAGAAACCCAAATCCGGTAAAGGAAGGGGGGGAGGCCAGAGGGGAAATTAACTTTCTACTATAAATCAAAAGCAGGGAGCGGGCAAAGGCCAGGAGCACGACGCTGCAAGGCCAAAGGGCAAACCTGAATGGGCTGGCTTCCTCTGAGCCCGCCTCCCGTGGAAGCAGCTCTACCTCAGTCCAGGAGGCTCCACATTCCCATGGCCCTGTGCCTTCACAATGCCATCTCTCAGTCCTGCTGTTCCCTCTGCCTGGGCTGCCCATCCCCAGCCTTTAAGGCCCAGCTCACGTGGCTGTGAAGCAGTGCCTGACCCCTCTGTACAGGATGGGCCCCTTGTATGTGAGCGCCCTGTGCACCAGAGGGTTATTTCCTGTGGACCCAGGCCAGCTGTGTCCCAGCATCCAGGGCACCAATTCCAGCCTATCTCACCAAGGATGCGGGAAACACACCGATGTGTACCCAGAAGCAACCCCATGCACTTTCAGCCTAGGACTGGCTCACTAAGACCGAGATCAGCGGCAAAATCTGAGCCAGACCCAAGGGAGTGTGAGAGTACAGCCGGCAGCTGACTTCCTGTCACTAAGAAGCCTTGTGCAGCAGCATGAAGACACCTGGAACTGGCCCCTGTCCTGCAACTTGGACCCTGTCCTCTGTAAGGGGCCGGGGGTCTTCCTGCTGCCCTGCCACCTGGCCCCTCCCTGCTGGCAGGAGAGGAGGTACCCTCTGCCCAAGGCACTCAGAGACCATCACCTCAAACTCCACCTCAGCTGCTGCTCTGGGACACTCCCTGGTACCTCGTTCCCTCGGTCAAGGCCCATCCCGAAATGTCTCACTTGAAAGCAGAGAACAACTTACTCACCAGCAGGATCCAGCTCGTTATCGTTTTCCTTTCTCTCCACCTCCCCCACCCCCTCCTTCCCCTCCATTTGCCCCAATCCTTCTGACTTAAATGCTGAGGAAATTCCGGATGACTCACCGAGCACGGTGTGTAATAACAGGAACATCACCTGCTCACATCCCTTCCCTAAAAAACAAAGCCCTGGGGTCTCGCGAAGCCTCTGGCAGGAGGCTGAGCTCGCTCTCAATCACACATGGGGGCTCCCGCGAGTCACCCGAAATGACTTAACTGTGGCAGGAGGCCCAACCTTTTGCCTGGAGTGGGGAGGAAATGAAGAAGGAGCCAGATGTCCGATGCTTTATTTCTTTTTGTATAATAATTTCTTTACAGGAAATAAACAGATGTCCTGAGATGTCCCCATCTTTCCCTAGGAAGAACTCGCTGTGTGCCTGTCATCACATCATCCTGCCATTGGGGACACGCTGGCGGGGAAGAAGAAATCCAGAGGCTGAGGCTGTGTGCCTCCTCCCGGCCCGCAGCCTCTGCTTGCCCTTCAGCCCATTGCTGACCGACTTCAGCCCCCACCTCCCTCCACACCTGCTCTCCCAAGGATGCCCCTGAACTCCTGATGTCAAACTCTAGGCCTCTTCTTACACCTCATTTTGCATCTCTGCGGGACCTCCCTAGCACCTCCCCACCTTCGGCTCCCATCCCCCACCTGACCCTCAGCCTCTTCCTCATCCCTGTCTCTCCCTCAAGACATTCACCACTGGTCTGTCTTTGACTTTCCCTCCTTCTTGAGCTGTGCCTCCCTCTCTGCTGAATTCAACCACTTGCAAGACTTGAGTTGAACCTTCATCAGTGTTTCCAAAGTGAGATCTCTGGATGGTCAATGGGCTTGTAAGACAAGGTGATCTAACAGCGCTCAGATCCATGAGAGAAATGCTGATCAAACAGGCCTCTCTGCAGAACTCCTCAGAGGCTTCACTGTGCCAGTGCCTTGGGTACATACATATATTTCAGGCTTTCCAAACTCACTTGATGACAAAATCCTATCTCTCTGACCTCCCTGTGGGAAAGGCTGTCACACATGCTAATGGCTTCCAAATCTGTACCTTCACTGCTGACCTCTCTCCCAACTGGCCAGCTGCTTCCTGGACACATTAAGAAAAGGCAGTTCACTGTCATCTTCCAGCCCAAACCCATCCCATCTCCTGGGTGTCCTGACTCAATTAAGAGGCCTTGCCAGCTAACGCTGGTCAGTAAACCCTTCTCAGATGCCCTCTCCTAGCCTGCTGCCATTTTTCTAAAGCATTCATGTCAGTCTGCTTCGGTGTAACAGCTAAATGGGGATTTTTGCATTTGGGGGTTTGGGGGAAGGGCCTCCAGTAATTTCGCCTAGAATTTAAATTCCATACAGTGCAGCCAGATTAATCTTTAGGAAGCTGTCATCAGATAACCACACCTCTGCCACCAAAACCCACCACAGACTATTTTGTGGGCAAGACCAGGCTAGATAAGCATGGCTGGTAGGGGTCTCGTCTCAGTGCCCCTCCGGTCCTCCCAGCCTCAGCTCTCCACTGTGCCTCTCGACAGGCCAACCAACCACAACACCAGCTGTCCTCAGAGCTCCATCTGGCCATGAGTGCCATTCTTTCCATCAGCAATGTCCTTCCCTCCTTCTCTGCCTCAGTACCCTACTTGTGGGTCCTTCGGGGTCCAGCTCACACACACCGCCACAGCTCGGAGGTCTTCCCATCCCATCCAGCACCTTCCTCCTTAGCACACACAGTTGTTCCCCTCTCTGTGCGTGCTCCCTTGGCATCTGGCACAATGCATCACAGGCACACACAGACACCTCCCGCCACTCCACCAGACTTTGAATCCTAAGTGTCATCCCCAGCTCTGGACCCTGAGCGTTAGTACGTACTGGGAACACAGCCAACGTTGGCTAAATGGGTTAATACGCAGGAGGCACTGGCAAGCCTGTCCGCACTGGAGTACCACCGTTACTGCCTGTGACCCCTCAGCATGCTTCATCTGCACCTACTTCTTGTTTTATACTTATGTATAGTCCTGCCTTATTTACCCCAGCAAGGCCATAAGCACCTTGATGGCAGGGGCTGTGAGTCCTCTTATAACTCTCCCTCCACCCGACCTGGGCTGGCACCCGATCACTAGCGGGGGAGTGCCTGGGGAATGAACGAATGAGGGAGAGACGGGTAAGTGGGCAGGGCTCCCACCCAGGGACCACATGGGACATGGTCTTCAATCTGACATTTGTCCCCAACTGTAAGTTAATAAGTGTCCTTCTTGAACCTCATTCTTCTGAGTAAGGTGGTCTAAATGACCTAGCCAGGCACTGCTCTACGGCAGGTGGGAGCATGTGCCCTGGCTCGCGAAGGCCTGAGTGCAAAGCCGACTTCCCCGTTTACTAGCTGCGTGACCTGAGACCAGTCAAGCAAGCAGTCTGCTCTTTGTTTTCCTAATCTATAAAGTGAAAAATGACAACACCACTACCTTATACAGCTGCCGTGAAGACTGGCGTGAAACACCAAACAGCATTCAGTGAATGAATCAATTCTCAAGAGAGGCCCGCCAGTCATCACAGCCCTGCCCCCCCCCCCCCCCCCCCCGCAGTACAGAGCCAGCAGTCCGCGAGAGCTCGGGGAGGGGACGGAGCCAGCAGTTCTGACTGCTGAAGGGGCAAAGGCGGGGCACGAGGGCTCGGGGGACAGAGGAAGCCAGGCCTGTCAGCGCCCGTATCTCGCCATGAGTCCCAATTCTGACTTGTCCACTGACTCGCCCCTCCACTCAGACCTTCCCAGCAGAGTGGCACCCATTCTTTGCCTGCCAAGCTCGGGGGCTGTTCCTACCTTTGGAAGAAATGACCTAAGAATTCTCGACCCTCCGATGAGGGGCCTGAGAAACGGGGCAGCGGGGTGGGAGAAAATGTGTCAACGGGGCACCCTGCCTTGGGTCTAAGTTCAAGAACCATCCTGTCATCCTGGTCCCCACGATCCAGAGAGGAATTCACAGCAAGCTACCACCCGGGGCGGCTGTCCCTCTGGGTCACTGAGTCAGGCAGCGGGGTTTCAAAGGCGAGCCTGCTCCAAAGCCTGTGCAGTGGAAGTGCGGCCATGGGCCATCGTGGGGTAGAATTAAATCCAAACCAGCCACCCTCAAAGGCCAAAGCCCAAAGTCAAGTTCACAATCACAGCCTTTAATTCCTCCAGTGTTAACATAGTTCTAGCCTTCAGGGTTTGTTTTTAATAACGCAGTCAGTCCTTTCACACTGAATTCGACTTTCCCTCTGCAAAGCCCAACATTCACAGTGATATTATTTTACAAAGATGTTAAAACAGATCTCCCAAACTCACATTTCTCACTGCCCACTTGTCAGCCTATATTATAGGGTTTTCAAGCCTCCCCCAGTGTCCCAAAGGATGACTTTCCTCATCGGATGCTATCAGTCAAGGACTCTAGACTGGAAACAAAAGACAGGCCAAGCCCCTCTAATTCACCAAGCTTGGATATTAACCATTTCTTTTCCTTAGCCACACATTAAGCCCTGGCAATAAAGGCCAAAACAAAATCAAACTCACATTCTTCTAAAACTACCAGACGAGCACATAAAAAATTCCCCCCAATAAAAATGAAATCGATGTTTCACTTGTTTTGAGCCCTTCTGCAGGCCCCACACTGGAGCTGAAGTCTGCTCTGGAGAAGCAGAAAAGCAAGTCTCAGAAAAAGACACCCAGAAACCCAACGGCCGAGGGCACGTTGTGGATATGATGGTCCAGTTGCTCCAAAACATCATGAGCTAATGCAAAATGATACATGAGGCATCAAAACATGGAAATGTGTTTACAAGAAGCCATAAAGAGGAGAAAAAAATGAAAAATTGGACATGCACTATGATTTCAATGGAAGGCACATACATATACGCTTAATCCATAAACTTCAGAAGGACTGTGATAAAACAAAAAACAGTGGGTTCGGGTGAAAAGATTGTGGGCAATTTTGGTTTTTTCCCCCAAGCTTCTTATATGTGACTGTTTTAAATAAAAATTACATCATTGTAAGATGGAAATGCTGAGATAAGACCAAATAAACTCTGAAAGAAGTCTACAGAAGTTGGGCGTTGGAGTCCGCTGCCCACAGCTTTGCGCCCAACCACACGTGTATGCTTGGCTCGCCATGGTCCTTCGGCTCCTGAGCACAGGTCTGGGGGACCCTCACTCACTCGCATCCAACCACCACCCAAGAGAACACAAGTCTGGCCTAGGATTGCCTTTCCTGACACCACTGTCCTCAAGTTTCCCGTTCTGTGGGTGACCCCAGAATCACTGTAACCAGAAATCTGATGGGCTGAACTGGCCCGGGTCGGGGGCGGGGGGCAGCCTCACCTTCAGGACCCCTCCCCACACAGGCCACCTGCCAGGGCTGCAGCTAGAGGGACTATACAGTTATCCAGACGAGCAGGCACTTACCCAGGTTACTGTGTGCTGGGGACATCGGATTCGGGGATAGGTTTGGAGAACCTGCGAGGTGAGACACAGGTGTGAGATTTCATAAAAGACTCTTGGCTAGAGAACCCAGTTACTGACATCGAGGTGGGACAGCTCAACACGGCAGAAAGGAACCCCGGGCTGAGCCTCCAAGGTCCAGGAGAAGGCCCGATGCCCTACCCTTGCCCGTACTTTCCCTCCACGGGCCCCAGGTTACTTCACCTGTGGAACGTACGGAGGGGACGACGATCTCCAGGTCTCTGCCACAACTGCGCAGAATGATGCGCTTCCCCAGGACCCACAGCACAGGCGTGCTGAGTTCCCACCTAGGGAACCGACCCTTCACCACACCCACCTGGCCCGTTAACTGTGCCCCCCAAAAATGAGAGGGGCAGGGAAGGTCCCCGCCCCAGCTGCTCACAGACGCAGGCAGCAAAGGCCAGCCCTCCCACACAGGTGGGGCCTTGGCGGCCCAGATGTTCACAGTTGCTGCTCTCGGTGGCTGGGAAACCCGGAAATACCATTCCAGCCTTTTCCCCAGGCTTCAGGAAACTCCCCAAGCTGCCTCAGAAACCCCACACCTCAGGGGCCGGACAGACATTTTATGCAAGACACAACACTGTACATGGCAAATAGTCCGAAACTACCCAATTCTTCCTACTCTAGTAGCCTCTTCCCACCCCTCACCTCCAGAAAAAAAAAAAACAACGAAAAAATATTTGGAATGGCATCAACCTTCCAAATAACCCTGTGGCTGCCTTTTCACAGAGCACACTGGGCACGTCCCTTCTTTGTCCCTGCACCAACAGGCCTGCTATTCATTTATTAACAGCTTTGTGGGGCTGGCTCCACCCAGAGATCTACCAGCTCTTGACACTGGCCCTCACACATGTGCCTCCTTGAGCTGCTAACGGGGGCTGCTCCTGCTCTTGCCATGGGCTTCTTTTGCTCCCCCAGCACCAGTCACCAGAGAGATGGAAGAGTCCCAAAACAGCAGCGCTTCCACATCGGGTCCGGACACGTCACCATGCATCAGCTGTGGGACTCTGGTAATGTGGTTTAAACTCTTGGAGCCTTAACTTTTCCCCTCAGGATAAACTGGAAATAATACCATCTATATTGTGTGATTTGTAGAAATGAAGTGATTTTTGTGCATATAAAAATGCCTACACCATGACTGGCACATAGTAGGAACTCAATAAGTGTTGGCTCCCTATTCTGTCATGGCTCACAAAGACCAGGAAAAGCTATAGGACCTTCCCACTGATCTGAACAGATGAATGTATGTGCGTGTGCATGTGCGTGTGTTAGGGAAGACACAGAGCTGGACAAGCTGATCCTTGGGCTCCAGCTGGGTCACCACCACATTTGAGCTCTCCATGAGCAACTGGACCAGTTTCCAAAGGGACAACTTTGAGTGAAGAAAGGAGAATAAACAGGAGATCCCATCTAGTCACCCGCAGGCTGCCTGGCATCCACAAAAGCCAGTGTCTACTTTCAATAAATCACTAATGTTCACAACAGGACTCTGCAAGTGCCCGTGAGGAAGGAGAGGAAGAAGGGAGAGGGAACAAAGAAAATGGGGAAGAAAGGAGGGACAGGAGGGGGCAAAAAGGCAGCTGCTCAGCCCCTGCACACACCCTTCCCTCTGGTTTGTTTTCTGTTAAAACAGTAATCATTCCACAGACTTGAAGAGCAGCAAGGAGGGAAGGGAGAAGGGAGAGGGAGAGGAACTATAGCATCTGGAGAGATGCTACTTAGCTGGCCTGCCTCCCATGCCAGCGTTTAATGGCTGCAAGCTCGCCACGGCCACTTGGCAGCAGGTACAGGAAGGTCTTCAGAGCATTCCAGCTGGGTTCACACTGTCAGCCACTCGTCCAAGGGGTGTATTTGTTGGGGGGGGGGTGCGCTAAAGCCCAAAGTGCCACGATGCCCAGGCTAGGTATGAAGCAACTGCATGTTTACAATGAACATGTGAGTCACTTTCATCCATCTTTCAGAAACTGCACTCTCTCTTGGGCTGTGTGGAGGCAGGTGGCTGTGCTGTGTCTAGCAGCTCCGTGGGTACGAGGCATGCTCGCCATCATCAGAACGGAACATCTGCTTGGCTCCCTCCTCCTCCTCCTCCTCCTCCTCCTCCTCCTCCTCACCCAACCGCACACAACACAGAGCACATTTCATGTGGCAGCTGGGGTCCAATGCAAGAAAGTACTGGTTTGGAGCCAATTTGGTCCCATAATAAATGACATGGGGACATCTGGAGATGTGGTTGGAGGCACCTGGGCTGGGTCCCTCACAGTAGGAACACACTGATCACATTTGGTCACCACACAAAAATAGATGCTTCAGAGGCCTCCACTGGCCAATGGCAAAGGCCTCCCCTCCGCTCAGACTCTCTGAAACGGTTTCTGGTGACAAAGCCCACCCTCCTGCCAGCTACATCTCACCGAGCCACAGACTCTGCTTGGCTTCCCATCAGTTTCCGGCCACACTTGAAGCCTTGAGTGACATGCTCTCCTGTCTTCCCACTCTGGAGGAATCGGCTCTGGTCACACTGAGTCTTACTGTCCCAGAATGCACCTGGCTCTCCTGCCCTTGTCCACACGACTCTGCCTGGCTCAGCCTCTGCCTGACCTAATGGCTTGGCTGCCACCTACACAACTCCAAAACGCAACTCGAGAAAAACCTACACTGCAAGGTACTGCTCTGTCCCCAACACCTCCTCTCCAGGCTGGGTTAGGTGGCCCTGCTCTGCGCCCCTAATGCTGTGTCGCGTATTCCATCAGGGAACATATGCGACGCACAGTAATTGCTGCTCGTCTTGTCAGTCTCCCCACGGGCTGTGAGCAGCTCAGGTTCCTCCTCTGCCCTGAGTACCTGGTACAGGGTGGTTGCTCTATAAATACTGGATAGAGGGAGGGGAAAGGGGAAAAGGGGAAGGAAGGAGGGAGGGCAGCCACTCAGGGTTAAGGGCGCACCCCTGCAAGACTCTGACCTGCGTCCATGCTGTGGTTCATCTGGTGGTCACTGGTCTCTCCATCTTCACTCAGGTAGCCAGGGGGTGGGGTTTCTAGGAACCAGGAGGAGAGTGGTTCATCACAAGGTGTCCACGGCTTGGAGAGAGACCTTTTGCAAACTCATTACATATTCACACCCCTATGCCAGTAGCGGGCGCTGGAGGAACGAACCATGGGCCTCAAAGCAAGGACATAGCTCCTGGATCCTGCTATCCTCAGGCCTCTCAACCTCCAGCACCGCCCCACCCCCCAATCACTACCTCATTACCACCTCTGTTCACAGCACCTGACTCCCAAGTCTGAGACTCCTGTTTCTAGAGCCTCTGCCAGGCTAACGTCCCCCATCCTTCAAGGTCAGGTTTAAGACTACACCTCCACGGGGGCTGCTGACTTGCTTCAGCCTTGCCCATCTCTGTCCCCGAAAGGGTGACCGCCTTAAATCACACTGGCCTTGCTATTTGTTGTCCCTTTAAGAGATGCCTTAGTTTCCCAATTGGGCTCCAAGTTCAGAGCCAGCAGACACTGATCTATTTCTGAGTGACTCCCAGACCTTGACTTAGCTAAGTTTTGCTGAATGAACAAAGTGGGTGACCTGCCCCCTAGAGACCAGTGCCACCTGCACAGGATCTGGAAAGGGCGGACCTGTGAATTGGGTCTCTCCTTAATGTTGCGACCCAGGTGCACAGGCCTGTGGACGACCTCGGCTCAGTAAACTCACTCAGGGTGAAGGCTCGTCCAAATCAGCACGCTCTGAAGGGAATGCGGCAAGGCTGCTGCCCGGCAGCCACAGTCCCCGCGAGGGGACTAGCCCAAGCGCCGCCGAGCAGTTTCCCTGGACTCCGAGAGCGCTGCTGATTCACACATTATCTGCGTGTCAGTGAGGGGCTTCTAAAAACATCTGCACTCTTTGACAGCGGAGCCCACTTCTCTCTGTGGAGAAAAAGCTTGAATCGGGCCTCACCCCCGCCCAGGCTGTCACTGCCCAGCAGGCCGCCCTACCGGCCGGCCCTCTGTGCTCGCTGCCCAGCCCTGGCTCGGAGCACCCGCTGTCTCTGCAGGCCCCCCGGCTGTCAGGGATCCTGCCTGAACTTCAACCCTGGCTTCAGGGCAGTGAGAGGAACACAGTGTTGCTATTTCCGTTTCCAAAATAAATGACTGCACTGAGGCCGGGAGGAAGGGTCACGCCGCCGCTCCGCCGTGCCAAGAAAAGCATCATTAGTAAGCGGGGAGCAAGGCCAAGGGTCCTCTCCCAACAGGGATGCGGTTCTGAGTCAGGGGCCAGTGCTGTGTGCACAGAGGGGGTGATGGGGAGGGCCTGGGGGGCTGAGAGCGGAGCAGTGGGACCTATGTCCCCAGACCAGCCTGCACTGCCAGGTACCTACCTGGAATATTGCTCTGCGGCTCGATGCCCGCAGGAAAGTTAGTGTTTTCAGGGATGGAATGGCTGTAGTCGTCCAGCGGGGGGAACTCGGCCGGGATCTCTGTGTGGCGTGGCACCAACACAGGAGGTAGAACTGTCAGGAAGAGACAGAGCAGAGGTGGATCAGCATCAATGCCAGGCTGGCACCAAAGGCCTTGCACCCCCAAATGCACTGCAGACTGTCCCTCAGGAAGAAGAGGGAGGAGGAAGAGAAGGGAGGAGGGAGAGGAGGGAGGGAGAGGAGGGAAGAGGGAGAGGAGGGAGGAGGGAGAGGAAGGAGGAGGGAGAGGAGGGAGGAGGGAGAGGGGGCGGGAGGAGGCAGGGAGCATACCTGGGGTCTCTACTCTCTGGTAGTGGTAGGGATTCACGCAGACCTCATCCTTCTTCATGTTGAAAGCGAACTCACACAGCTCCATGGCCCGCAGCTCATGGTGGCTGTGCAGGTCGGGCCATCGCCACAGGCGGCAGTAGATGACATGGGGGAGCCCTTTCCGATGGGATACCTGCAGTCGGCCATCCAGGGACCTGCCGGGACGGGGAGGAGCAACAAGAGACAGTGAAGTGGACTTGGCTTGTCTTCTCCTAAGTTCTGCCTGCTGCTCCTAGTGAGCTCGCTGGCAGAGGCTCAAAAAGCCCTCCCCACCCCCGCTCCTTTCTCTCAGACGCCGAGGGCCTGGAGATCAGAGAACTGCTAACTGTTAGTGCTGGACAGGATCCCAGGAGAAGAACACAGAGGCCCACCAAGGAAGGCCGAGGCCTCCCCAGGGCTGGCGCAGTGGGCCCGGAGCCCTGCAGGCCCCGGGAGAGCGCTCCACCCCCACCCCACCCCCGTATAAAAGGGATGGCACTGAATCAGGCTCTGAACAGGTATAGAGGTGAGAGGGGCAGACAGAGCTGAGCCAGAAAAGAGCTCTTTTAGGTAGGAATGTGAGGACCACAGTGATACCTGAGAAGGTGACAGAGCACAAAGATCATCTCCACTCGCTCTTAACACTTACCCAGTCCCTCCCTCACACATTAGAACACAAGAAAAAAACCCCAGACCCAAATGTCTCTTTTTCAGGTGATACTTGTGATGGGGCAGGGAGGGAAAGAGGGACACTAAAGGGACTTTTAAATGGTAAGAGCCTGCACTGCAGACCTCTCAGGAGTCCCTTTCAGTTTGATGGTTGGTTGCAGGCGGACCTAGGTGTCACCCACAGGGTCATCGTGTCTGGGCTGGGCAGGGGCGGAGCCTGCAACTCCCCGCCTCTCCTAGTTCTGCCACCATCCCCAGCCCAGGTGGGCCAAACACTCTGCAAATGGCAGCATCTCGTCCCCGTGCAAATGATGTTTTCTGTGGTGACTTGGCCTCTAAGCAGCTGTGACCCCTCCTCTCAGGCCAGGCCCATGTGTGGTTCCTGGGCCGGCAGGGTGGGTTCCCAGAGGTTTTCTTAAAAAGCAGAGCCTACCCCAACCTACTAAATCAGAATCTTCCTTTTCATAAAGTCCCAGGTGACTGCACAGCCAGCAGGTTAGAGCAGTAGGCACGACACAACCCAGCAGAGCTCCAGCGTGGCAGAAGCCCTGTCAGCCAAGAGCAAGGTGCGCCGGTAAGAGCCTCTTGAAAGGATGTGAGGTTTCAGCTGCTGTCTGGTACCGGACAGGTAAGGAGATTCCATTCACACATACAAGATTGATACATATTTTATGAACCCCCACTGTGGCACTAGGGATGGAGGAGCAGGCACAACTTTTCTAACAGCCAGGTGGGGCTGGCTGAGAGGCACTTGCAAGCTTTCCCTCCCTGCCCCCATGTGGCGAGGGTGCCCATTGGCCTGAATAAACAGGATTTAGGGGCACTCTGTGAGGGAGGGGCTGATCAGAAACAACCAGACGAACCAAATGAATTGAAAAAACCAGAGGAATCCAATCACACTCTCCAGGCCACTGGCCTGGGCAGACGAAGGTCAGGGCTGGACTTGCTCACAGGGACTGCTGACTAAAGACACCTCCAGGCACATTATTACCTCCCTCTCGACAGCCCCCAAATGATAATTCCCAGGCGGAAGGAAGAGGACAGCCTCGACTCCCAAGGCAGAGAGGGGAGACTGTCAGGTAAGGAGTCGTGAGACCCGGGGTCCCGATGGCGTCCTTCTGTCCTAGCTGTGAGACACGGGTAAGTCATGAGGTCTCTGGGACCCTCGGTTACTTCACCTGTGAAATGGGAACATTCTCCCACCCCCGCCCCTTCACCTTCAGCAGCTCAGTATCCACCTGAAAGTATTTTGTGAAGCGCCAAACCCTGAGTATTATTCCACGTGACCACAGCCACTCTCCAAACACAGGCCTGGATACATGGGCGAGTGTGGGGCTGAGGAGGAGAGAGGGAGAGCGGGGCATGGTGAGTGGAGACGGACAGTACTCAGCTGTTCCCATTCTCTTGCAAAGCACTGAGTGCCCAGAGATTAGAGAAGTGGTCACATTTGCTCCTCAGTGTTTGACAAAAGCCCCAACAAAGAGCCAGCTGGACATCTAGAGCTACCTCTGCAGGGGGAGACCCCGAGAAAGGCTCAGACCAGCAGCGAGGGAGGGAGGGATGGGGCCTCCAGATGGAGTGCCCCCCCCCAGGCCTGGTCGATGGAAGGCAGTGCATTCTTGCTCTAAAAATTACAGTGATACATAGGAGAGGTGATGGACAACACAGGGCGGGGCTCTCAGCCTCCACGGGGCAGAGAGCCTAAGAGACTGAGCAGGAGGCCAAGTTCCTAACAGCCCTATACCTGGGCCTGAGCCTTTAGGAAGGGACAGGTATATGCAGGACACTCGGGGCACTCCTGACAACGGATGCCCACACACGGCCCTAACATCCTAAACCCCCGGAACCAGGACGCCCGAGCCAGGTACCTCACTCGACAGAGATCCACAGTGGGCCCACAGCCTCACACCTGCTCAGGGACCTACAAGGAAAAAGGGGCACGGAGCGGGCCGAAATGGGGCAGCCACGGGACCCAAAGCTCAGGCACGGTGCAGGTGACTGAGACCAAGGTCTAGGCACGGGGTTGTGATGTGGTCGTCACAGGTTTTAGTAGACGAGGGATGGGAAGGAGGTGAAAGAGGACAGAAGGCTTATCAGATCTGTAGGTAGAGGACTTCAGTTTCCTGATTCCTCGCATCCAGTTCTTCCTATATTATGCGGGCTCTTTCCTCTCAGGGCCTGAAGAGCTTGGCTGTCTACTGGAACAATTATGGCAAAGAGGAAGGAAGGGGAGAAAGGAGAAGGGGGAATAAAGGGGAGGGGTAGAAGGGGGAGGGTAGAAGGTGGTGGTGCAGGGAAGGAAGGGAGGAGGGGGAGAGGTGAATGGGGGAGGAAAGGGGAGGAGGAATGGATGGGGGAGAAGGGGGGAGAAGGGGAGATGCGGGGGAAGGAGGGGGAGGAGGTAAGAAATGTCCTTCGGTCAAATAAAACAAACTGAATGGATGCAATTTATCTCTGTCTTGCCCAAAACAATGAGTAGGAGCACAGGGCAGACAAAAGTGGAAAGCAGATGGCCGAGTGGGAACAGACTTAGCAGAGTGGAGTGAGCTGAAACCAAGCGCCTATCTGAGGAAGCCAACAAAAGTGATCCTGAGTCTTTCAGGTTCTGAGGCCCAAATGGGAATTGAAGGCACCGCACACTTCTCTAGAGGAGGCTGAAAACAGGAGGATGGATTGAAAATCTATGGAAAAGGCAGTCAGATCTAAGCCCCCCATTTCCAAGCCCCGACAAACAGGGTGGCCCCAATTGTGCAAGAGAAAGATTTGCTCTCTGCAGAAAGTGAACTGGATGGCGGGGGTGGGGGGGCGGTTGCTGTGGAGGGGCCACCAGCGTACAGCCGGGGGTGGAGGTCTGACGAGGGCTGGAAGGAGGGTTTCTGGAGGCTCTCTTGCTCCCTTGGTACCCAGGACAGTGACGGATAATCCATGCGTCCACCCCCTCCTGTGGAGAAATTAAACAGCTCAGCCCACAAGAGACCTGCAGTCTGACATTTGGGGATCCCCCAACAAAATGGCTCTCTTCCTGCCAGCTCCCCCATGCAGGGTAGCCCACCAGCCAACAAGCTGGAGCAGTTAATGTTTTTTATTGCCTCACTCTTAACTATGAATGCACAGCCAGAATGCTCAGCCTTTTAAAGAAAGCCACTAACAGGAGGCACAGAGAAAGAGAGGAGAAGGCAGGGAAGGGGAGGGCAAGTCTGAAGCAAGAAAGGAGAAACTTCCAAAGTAAATAAAACAAAACAAACACTACTCTCAGGGAGATAAGATATTGAAATCCTAAAATAGAAACGTTTATAGACTATTAAAAAAAAACCTCTTGGAAGCAAAAAATAAGAATATAAATTTAAAATTCAAGAGAGAATCAAGTCAAGGACTCCTTGAATTTTTAAACTATTATATACATGAATGATTTTGATAATATAATTAAATTTTTAAAAAGCAAGGGGCTACAGTAATCAAGGCAGTGTGGTAATGACAAAGAAAGAAAAAGATAAAAACCACACACACACCCACACACCCCTGAGAAACTGATGATGGGACCTAATAGAGTCCAGAAATAGTTACATATATATATATATATAAACTCATTTTTGACAAAGGTCCAAAGACAAAGAGAAGGACAGCCTTTGCAAAAAATGGTGCTAGGAAAGTTAGACATCCAAATGAAAGAAAAATGAACTTCAACCTACACCTGGCACCCGACGCAGAAGTTAGCCCAAATGGGTCATAATATAAAGCCTAAAACAACACAACTTCTAGAAGAAAACAGGAAAAATTCTTTGTGACAGGCAAACATTGCTTAGGTATCACACCAGAAACACATTTCATTTTTAAATAGTTGATAAATTTGACTTTATCAACATTTAAGCTTCTGGTCTTTGGAAGTCACTGTTAAGAGACTAATAAGACAAGACACAAATTGGAAGAAATATTTGCAAAGTATGTATCTGATAAAGGACCTGTGCCTGAAATATATGAAGAACTCTAAAGACTCAATTAATAAGAAAACAAACAACCCAGCTATAAAAAATAACAACAAAGTTATTTGAACAAACACTACACAAAAATATACATAGAGGGCAAATAAGCACATGAAAAGATGTTGATGTTCAACATCATTAGTCATTAGAGAAGTGCAAATTAAATCTACAGTGAGATAACCCCTACATAATTATTAGGATGGCTAAAATAAAAACTCCCTGCCACGTGCTGGCAAGGATATGGAGCAACTAAAACTTCAAACATTGCTAGTAGGAATGTAAAATGATACAACTACTTTGGCAAACAGTTTGGGGGTTTCTTAAAAAAGGTAAGAACAAATGACCTACCATATGATCTACCCATTTCACTCCTAGGAGTTTATCCAAGGGAAATCAAAGCATCTGTCCCCACATGAATGTCCACCGTGGCTTCGTTTGTAATTTGGAAATTACTCAATGTATAGCAACAGGTGAATGGACAAACTGTGATAGATCCATGCAAAGGAATACCATTTAGCAATATAAAA